ATAATTTTTATTTGCTTATGTGAATTTCATTGTTCTTTGAATATTGGAGGTAGGTATCTACGGTTACACAACTATTTTTAATTTTTATTTGCTTATGTGAATTTCATTGTTCTTTGAATATTGGTGGAAAGCTAATGCTATATTTTTCTTTCACAGATTAACCCCAACTGTTGCTATGGCAATACTTGTATGGATGTTTATTCTACCCTGGGTGGGACAAGGACCAATGTGGTTTAAAATGTTACCTAAACCCTATTGTGAGAAATACTGGTGGTCCACTTTGTTATATATCAATAACTTCTATCCAGATTCACTTACAGAAGAGGTAGTTTATTGATAATTTTTTTGTTTGGTGCAACATTTTTATGCATTTTTATATGATTCCTTTGTTAATTTTGATTCTAATGGAAATGTAATCCAATTCAAAATTTTAGAAAAATATGGAAAATGTTGTACATGTTATTCTATGCAAGGTAAAATAGGTCAAAGGTTAAAAGTAATGCATTGTAGCAAACTCCCTATACTTCATGCTGTGTAATATTCAGTATAACAAGTTTTTATTTTTTGGATAAATCTTTGCATTGTTTACATATCCAATGGTAACTTGAAGTTAACAACATAATGCTTTCAAATGAAAGATTCAACAGATACAGGATAATGCAACTTTTATTCCACTTTTCTTCAGTATATGTAGTCTGCCATCTTAATTTTTAGCAAAGGATTATGGGTAAAGTATGACATCATGTCATAGATGTACTGGTGCCAACCATACATATGGTTGTCATAGCAATTAAAATGAAAATATTCATTTTTACATTTTTCTACCATATCCTCAATTCTTATTAATGAGAGTGGCTTATACAGGTTATATATAACTACTGAAAAAGGACAAAAATGTGTCATTCTACTTTTAAAATAACTATTTTTATTAATTTAATTATTTCAGCAATATATCTTCACTTGTACAGCATTCTAATATTGATCAATATAGTTATACTTTTACTAATTCACACGACAGACAACATTCTTAATTTTATCTTGACAGTGTTTAGGTTGGACATGGTATTTATCTAACGATTGGCAGTTTTATGTAATTTCTCCAATTATATTAATACCACTGTACAGGTATGTATATTTGTTTAAAAAGATGATATGTTTCCATGACTACTTGATATCAGGGTAATGATGGTGACAAATGAAGAATGCATGTGAGTTGTCCAATCACAGTATCTCAATGATTCATAAGATAAAGTAAATTTGATAACCGTGGTGATACATGTAGATCTCATTCTGTGCGAGTTTCATGTTCATGTCAATTAAACTTTTGGCATAGAACACATCCTGCTTGCTTACAAAGACTCGTTTGTAGAAACCGAAGTAAATTTGGCCAAAGTTTTAATACATGGTCTTGGAATATGTGAGGATACTAAAAACAACCAAGATGTACACTAATCAATAAATTCCAAAACACCATTAAAATATATGCCACAAATTCATCTATCATGTGTTTCCAACATAAGCATTATTAAAAATATCACTTAATTAATAATTTTTAACAAGAACAAAGGAAGGCATTTAAGTCATTATATTTTTGAAAATTTGTATTCTGTTTATTTGCATTGTATGATGATTGTGCATGTCTGGTTATATTATTCTCTGTAGATCTAGGAAGGTGGGATTTATAATCTTGTCATGTATACTGACAGCAAGTTTTATAGTTACTGGTACTCTAATTGGTGTCTATGATTTGAATATAATTGCTCTTGGAGACACACCAGACAGTTTGGAGTAAGTATGGATGGATACCATTCAAACCTTATGTGTATCATAATAGGTAGTGTGTCAGCACAGTGTTATGAAAATTGCTGGTTTCAATCCAAATCAGTTCTGCCACTTGCATGTCTTACATTAATCAATTCTACTTGGCACACATAATATTTATAAAGGGAAACCTGGAATTAAAATCTAAAATGAGCCACCAGTGATTTCACCACGTATCTCCCAGTGATTTCACCAACTAGCCCCAGTGATTTCACCACATAGCCACCAGTGATTTCACCACATAGCTACCAGTGATTTCGCCACATAGCCACCAGTGATTTCACCATAGAGCCACCAGTGATTTCACCACATAGTCACCAGTGATTTCACAACATAGCCACCAGTGATTTCACCATAAAGCCACCAGTGATTTCACCACATAGTCGCCAGTGATTTCACCACATAGCCACCAGTGATTTCCCCTTGTATATTAAGCTTCTGGACTGAAGTAATTCATACCTATGTATGAACTTGTGCACTGTTGCTCTTTTGTTATCTTGTATTATAACATGTCAAGTCTGCTCATGTACTCTGACCAGACATTAACCTGTAGCAGTTTTATTACACTATGACAACTCTCATTATAATTCGCCATTGCTTGACAGGACTGGACCGAATTTCACAAATTCTGTATATATCAAACCATACTGTCGTATTGCTCCATATTTGGTTGGCATGGCAATGGGATATGTACTGCAAAGATTAAGAAGTAAAAAACTGAAAGTGACAGTGTCACCAGTAAGTATATAATTCATTGTGTCCATGTGGTTGTAGACCCTGTTTGATGTCACTTTTAATCAGTTATTATCATATTTACTTGTTTTCTTATGCTGTGTTTATCAGATAAGAGTATTATTACTTTTCTGAATATAATATACACATAATCTTTGCTCTGAAACCATGTCTATAAATATTCTAGCAAGATTATTAATGGCACAGGCAACCATTTAAGCCCCAGTCTTCACCATGTTGTGTGTTTTACAGTTTTCTCAGTTTATGCAAGTAATTTAGCTGACCATCCATTTATCAGATTTGGTATCTGACAGATTTGATCTTTGTAAGGGACGACGTCAAAAGATCGATGTCGGATAAAAAACTTATTTGCTTTAGTTTGGGGGTGGGGGGTTTGACCTCAAAAAGTTGCCATCCTACGAAAACAATTTAAACGATTTTTAAGTAAAAAAAATCTTGGAGTATTTGTAGTTCGTTTTTTTTTCTATCCAATCATGGACAGAAATAACCGAAAAGGAAAAAAAACATCCACGACGAGAAAATGGTTTGGTTCGAGTGTAAATATGTGCGTCAAATGAGGTGCATTTGTAAAGTCTTTTTACACCCACCCGCCAACCAACTGCTATGCAATACTACTGTCCGATTATCAATTTGTATTGAATGGTGAATGTATTCTGACGCCATGACCAATATTTATCAATTAAGTTTCAGTGGGGGGTGAGGGGGTTTGGAAAAAAAATAAAGAAATTAAGTTTTTTATCCGACATCGATCTTTTGATGTCGTCCCTAACTAATCAAATTTGCTTTTGCATTCACAATATATATCTATTATTCTATTCATTAGATGGTAGCTGCTATTGGTTGGTGCCTAGCAACCATTGTAGCACTGTCCTGTGTGTATGGTTTATACAGCACAGCACATGGACATGTGTTGTCTACCGCTGAGAATGTCATATATGGAACATTTAGTAGATTTGCTTGGTCTCTTACACTGTCATGGGTTGTGTTTGCTTGCAGATATGGAATAGGAGGTCAGCTTTTTTTATTATATCATAGTGAATATTTAAAAAAATTGAGTGAAACTTTAATACTTTAATCATGAATATTGTTTCTTGGACTCTCTCATGTTTAATTTGAAGCGATAAAATTACCTAAATTATCTTTGAGTTACAGTAAATAATAGTAATCTATTACATCCTTAGGAATACAATTTATATCAGCTCATAACAGTAAAAATGTAGTAATACAACAGTCAGTAAATTAAATAAAACATAAATAAAAAAATTTGTATAACAATAGCCAATATTTTTTTGAAAAAATCTATTTTTTACTAATTTCAAACAAGGTATGCACATACAGTTATATGTCAACTTTTTAGTGCCTGAAAACAGGGACTACTGTAAAATCTGTATTAGAAACCGTGGCTTCTATTAAAATGGTCCAATGCAATAGACAGGATGTGGCTTCTATTAAAATGGTCCAATGCAATAGACAGGATGTGGCTTCTATTAGAGCACCTACACATAAGGAGAAAAGATGAATTTTTGGTTCTCAATTATTCTAAAAGAATGGGGCGATTCTATTAGGGATGCTGCTACTAATACAGATTTTACGGTAGTAGTTTTACCTCTGTGCATCCATTCATATGTGCATCATTCTCCCTGTATTTCAGACACACATACGTCATACATAGTGTCATGCATTCACACATGCATTTATCTTGTAATCTAATTCCGAAAAGTTGAATTGCAGCCATTTTTCTGCCTTTCCAGAACTAGCGCTCACTCGTGCATATGCAAATTTTGTTCAAACTTGCTACATACATAGAACATCATGGTACTTTGAAGCACATCTTTTTTTTTACGGATCTGAATTAAAATGGCTGATTGGTGCCCATTTCATTTAAAAAAATGATTTTCTGGTGCTTTATCTCTGACATGCCAGGGCTGATTTAATTCAAACTTTACCCATACAAACAAATTGCATCATGTCACATTGTATCACATTACATTGCCTCAGTTTGCATCGTGTCCAATTGTATTGCATTTCATTGAATTACAGTGTTACTATTAAAATTGTATAAATTACTGTCACTTCCACAGGTGCTGTTGAAGACTTCTTGTCTCATAGTTTTTGGATTCCATTAAGTAGACTGACTTTCTGTGCTTATTTACTTCATCCAATGATACTGGACATTTTAGTATTTGCGTTTGCCACACCACTGCATTTTACTATCAATATATTGGTAAGTATGGCATTTGTTATTAGTACCACATACGTGTACTTCCAAGATAATAGATTGGCATTCGATGGTGCATATTGCTGATATTACGACTATGTGGTGAAACCACTGCATGGTGACTACCTGGTATGTGGTGATATACTTGATATGTGTTACCGGTAATACTATAATACTACCTTTTACATGGACTAGTATGAACCACAAGCTCAGGGTGAGTGGATAAGACAACCCATGTCGACACAAGCACAAACCAGCTCTATGAACAAGTGATATCAAGTGATAACCGTTTTATCACATGACTAACTTCAAGTTTATATATTGTATATGTCACTGATATGACATGTCACCCGTATAACATGGAATGTGTCGCTTGATGTATATTGTTAGTATGACATGAATGTTGTTAATATGACATTTATGTTGTTAATATGACATGAATGTTGTGAAAATGACATGAATATTCACTACGTTCAATTACCCACCATAGACTCCGGTCAGTCAAAATGACTATTTTGAACTGTAGGCATTAATCAGTGATTTTGCCGGTGACGGAGAGATAGAATCTAGGTCAGGGGAAGCCCCGTGACCCCAAGATTCTCTTTCCCTTACGTCTTTGCAGTTAGTGTGTCTGTCTGTGTGTGTGTCTGTGTCTGTGTGTGTGGGTGTGTGTGTGTGTGTGTGTGTGTGTGTGTGTGTGTGTATATGTGTGTGTATGTGTGTATGTGTGTCCGTCTGTTCCACCGATATCTCAAGAACCATACATTGATTTTTGATGAAACTTGGTGCATAGATGCTCTGGGCCAATGCGCAGATTTGATTAGGTTTTGGTAAAAATCCATGCATATTAATTACCTAATTTGCATGATAATTCGC